AATGAGACAGATCTTGCTGTCACAGAAGTTCTGTTCTAGTGGGGACCACAGCTGTAAAGAAGAGCAAGCAGATTCAGTATGTTAGGGATGGGACATAAAGGAGGGACAAGAACGTAGAGGGAAGGATGGCAGGCTGATGGCTTCACTTGGGTGACGTGAGGACCGAGACCGGAGGAGGACAAGAGAAGGCTCTGAGCAGCGTGGGCAGAGCTCCAGGTGGGGCAGAGCAGGTGCAAAGGCCCTGAGGTAGGAAGACTGCAATAGGAAAAAGAGGAGGGGGCAGAGGAGAAGTGAGGGGCTGGGTGGCAGGAATGGGTAGGACTTTGGCTTTGACTTGGATGAAATGGAGAAGAATACATGGGGTTGAGTCCACTGGCCTTTGTGGGTCAGAAAGTGGCAGGCCCTAAGCCTTTTGGGTCTAATCCCCTTGGGAGCAACTTGTGGAAACCCAGCACCCTGGCTGCAGAGTGGTGAGGCCTGTTCAGGACGTGCACTGGGCTGAGCTCCCCCTGTGGGTCTCCTGCCCGTGCCCCGCAGGTCCCTGGGAGTGGGAGAGGGACCAAGCCTGCCTGCCGGGTGCTGCCCAGGCCAGCAAGGGGCGGAGTCCAGAGTCAGGTGCTCCTCCTCTGGCTTGCTGTCCCCCACCTTCTTCTCCATTCTCCAGAGGCTGGTGGCCCTGCCCGGGCCCTGGTGCCGCCCTCGGAGACTGTCCGCGAAGGCTTCCTGCTGAAGCGCAAGGAGGAGCCCAGCGGCCTGGCCACACGATTCGCCTTCAAGAAGCGCTACTTCCGGCTCAGCGGGGAGACACTGTCCTACGCCAAGGGTCCCGAGTGGCAGGTGAGCTCCCGGTGCAGGGGAGGGCTCTGGGGCAGGGACAGGGACAGGTCCCCAGAATGCCAAGCAACTGAGCAACTCTGGGTGTGCTCCTGGCTGGGGGCCAGGGTGGCGCCAACAGGATCAGGTGCATCTCTCACGCCCTCCGCAGTGTGGAGATGCAGGAGCTATGCAGACTCGGGTAAGATGGGATGTGCTCCCTCTGGGACAGGCTGGCTGTGCAGACACACATGCCTGGGCATCCATTGCCTCATTCATTCATTCATTCATTCATTCAGCAAACACGTACTGAGCACCTACTGCCAGGGCGAGTCCCGGGGAAGACACGGCAGGGCAAGTCAGGGACACCCATGTCTCCTGGGGCTGCATCCCCACTGATACAAAGCAGATGCCTGCTGGACTCCCCATCCCTGTCTGCACCCCAGATGCAAGGGTGGCTCCCATGGCCAGGGCCGCACTCCTGCTTCTGTTCATCAGCATAGCAAATTCCAGGCCTCAACTCCCTGGGGTCCAGTCTGGCACCATGGGCTGAATGACATGGGAGGGTCACTGGCTTCCTGTCCCCAGCCTTTTCATCTACAAGCTGGGGAGAATGACAGACCCAACCCAACCTGAGGAGTTGGTTGGGATGATTAAATGCATCAATTACTAGGAAGGGCTTAGAGCACATTCCATAGACGTGGCCATTATGGTGACAGTGGTGATGGTGATGGTGAGGAAAGAAACCAGGGCCCAGAGAAGCCACGTCCCTTCGGCAGTGATGGGGCAGGATTGTGGGACGCAGGGCACACACACACACACACACACACACACACACGGTTGAACGTCCTTGCCCCAAGGGCCCCCACCTGGTGCACACCCACCGGCAAAGCTGTCCCTGTTCTGAGCCTGCCTGCAGAGAAAACCCTGTCCCCAGGTTCCCACCTCCATCCCAGTGTCACACATCTGTGCTGTGGAGCGCGTGGACGAGGGCGCCTTCCAGCTGCCACACGTGATGCAGGTGGTGACACGGGGCAGTGCGGGCACGCTGCACACCACCTACCTTCAGTGCAAGGTGAGGTCCATGAGGAGAGCGAGGGCGACCCTGGGGCCGCCCCAGCTCCTGACGCCCCACCCCTCTGCAGAATGTGAATGAGCTCAACCAGTGGCTGTCGGCCCTGCGCAAAGCCAGCGCGCCCAACCAGGAGAAGCTGGCCGCCTGCCACCCCGGGGCCTTCCGCGGGGGGCGCTGGACCTGCTGCCTCCAGGCCGAGCGCTCAGGTAATGGGCGGGGCCGCCTACAGGCTCCGCCCCCCGCCCCTCAGCGGCTGTCTCTGCCTGGGTGGGCTGTGCAACCTTGGACAAGTTACTTAACCTCACTGTGCTTGAGACGGGGCTGATGCTAGTTCCTGCTTCATAGGGTCCTGAGAGGGTTAAAGGAGTTGATGCTGGTTAAATGATACCAGCAGTGGTAGTTTCTCAGGACCCATCCTGTGCCGGCTCTCAAGGAGGACTGGACTGTTATGGCCGGGACCCGGGGAGCAGCAGTGGAGGCAGAGAGAGCGGAGCCCCAAGGCAGCAACATCCGGGGCTCTAGAGCGGAGGAGGACCAGGCCCGCGGAAGCATCTTAGAGGCTGCGGGGCAGGGGATGGAGACCCCTGGGCCGTGTGGCCTCCCATGCGGGACGGAGAAGTCCCCGTGACGCTGCGTCCCTGGTTCCGCAGCTGCCGGCTGCAGCCGCACACACGCGGCTGTGACCCTGGGAGACTGGAGCGACCCGCTGGACCCCGACGCCGAGGCCCAGATGGTCTACAGGCAACTGGTTCTGGGCCGGGACCAGCTCAGGTGCGCGCCACCACTTCTGCTCTGCTTCCTGTGACCGCCAGGGAGGCACAGGCCGGGGCCTTGGGGAGTCTTGTCTTTGGGTCCTAATGCAGAGCTGAGTGCATCCCAGGCTCCATCATGGGGACAATTCACAGAAAACCCTGGCCTCCTGAGCTTGCAGTGTGACCTCGACTGGGTCCCTTCCCCTCCTGGCCTTCAGGCCACTGTTACTGAGTGAGGAGGAACTGTCCCAGCCCATTCCTGAGTGGGTACTGAAGCTGGCCTGCTGGACTCAGATCCTGAGTGAGCCATCTGGTGGCCGTGGGACCTCCTCAGTGCCTCAGTTTCCTCTACAGAAAAGGAGGGTAATAACGGTACCTGCCTAAGATCAAAGGGGTTAACCTAGTTCTTTGTAGGGACCTGGACACATAGTTGTCTTTCAGTACACAGTGATTATTATGCTGTGTGGCCTCAGGCAAGTTACTGTGTCTCTGTGTCTGTGTTCATCTGTCATACCTACCTCATGTAATTTGGTGTGATCATTAAACGAGTTAATACACGTGAAGGGCTTAGGGCAGCGTCTGCCAAACTAAAACTGTTTGCAGTGATGATGATTTGGGGAACCTGTAATATCTTCTACAGCCGCAGGCCACCCCTGGGTCTGGGGCAGGACTGGGAATCAGACCCAGCCTTGTCTTTCTCCGTGTCCACTTCTAGGTTGAAAGTCCTGGAGGAGTCCAACCCAGATGCAGCCGGGGAGGCAGACTCAGTGCAGGGTAAGGGAGGTCCCCTTCTTTTCCCGCAGCTTTCTGAGCAACCTGTGTCCCCTGTCCACCCTCCCATTTACAGGCCCCAATCAGGCTGTGGGGGTCCTGGTACTTCTGGGGCTTTGCAGGGCCCGAGCCCAGTCTGCAGTCCGGCCCTGGGTTTGGGTGCTGGCTGCTGCCCCAACCACCTGTGACCCTGTGTCCCCCAGGGTCCTGCTTGGAGGCTCTGGCCCGGCAGAAAGCAGCAGCTGCCCATCTGCTGGAGGTGCTGGAGGACCTGGATCATGCCCATGAGGAGTTCCAGTGGCAGGGCCAGGGGAAGGTGGCCCTGGGCCCCCAGGGGTCCTGAGGAAGCCACAGATCCTGCTGAGGAGGAGGAGGAGCTGAGAGCCATAAGGCCACCTCGCCCTCCCCTGGCACAGGAGTCTCCTTGAGGCTGTCCTGAACCTCTCTGATGCTGTGACTTGGAAGCTGCTGTAGACATGCCTTGTCCTGGTGTCCCTGTCCAGGTGGGGCATGGAAGCCCCACGGCCCGGGCCAGCCTTGCACTGAATATCACTCTGCGTGGATGAGCCTGGAGTCTGCTCCACTGGACTAGCTTGTGCCCATATCTACAAAGCCAGCTTGGCCTGGAGCGGCTGGATACAGCTATACCTGAAATCCCAATGCCCATGTGGCCTTGTTGCCCAGATGGGCACTAAATGGTCTCAGCCCTTCCTGTTTCTGTGTCTTCAAATCCTCTAACCTCACTGATTCTTTTTAACCTTGGCTAAGGGCCCAACTCCAAGCTTCTGGGATTAGATATTCAGATTCAGACCCTGTCTGGTGGGAATAGATTCCTGGGCTGCATCTGGCCACTGACTCAGAGCCTGCAGGTTCGCAGGGATGGGAATCGGGGTTTTCAACCAGTTCCCCAGGTAATATGAGTGGTCGTCTCCCGGGGCAGTCTGCACGTTTCTACATTATAGTTTGAGGTGAAATTTGGGGAGTGAGCCAGACTGTTGGGGGACACCCAGCTGGCAGATCTTGAAGAACCTCCAAGGATGTCTCCCTGTTTTGTGTAACGGTGTGGGGAGGACACAACGGGATATTTATTCAAGGTGGCCTGGCCACCATTAAGTGTACCCTTGAAGACACGGTGCGATTCCACAGATGGCCAGCAGGGGTCACCTGGACCCACAGCGCTGCCCACAGCAGCCCCAGAACCTGGCCAGGGACAGGAGCTCCTGTGTGAGGCTGACAGAGCCTGGCTCTGCCCAGTCTGTCCCTGGACAGACCCTGCCCAGGTGCTCCCAGCCCGAGCCCCTGTCCCCTCGCTGTGTTGGCGAGCAGATGTGGGCATCCCCTTGTGCTTCTGTTACAGAGCAGGCCCCTGCTCCCTTGGTGTCCAGGGAGTCCAGGAGTGCGTGCCTCTGCATCAGCCCCTCCCCCTTTCTGCCCCAGGACAGGAAAATTAGGGACCTTCCACTCCATAGCCCCAGGCAGTGGCCTGGAGGTGCCCTTCTTTTGCAAGTGATCATTTCCCGTGTTCCCCAAGCCCCCCCCCCCCCAGGACACTGCCACCCAGCCCCCTTTGGACAGGAAGAGACTGGAGGGAGGAGGAGAAAGACCATTTATTTCTCCACCCACAGTGGGACTAGTACGGTCTTTCAAAAGAGCAATCGCTGGCGTCCCTTTAAATCTTGGCTGACTCCCACCGAGACAGCCAATCAACAGAGGCGGAGCTGGTGAGTTGCCTGGGCAACGGGCCCCTGGTTGGCTAGAGACCATCAGCCACCCTACTGCCCACTCCCTGGGAGAGGGAGATTAACTCTTCACTGTCCTCTCTCCCTCTCAATGCACTGGCCTGACCCAGGCCTCCTCCTGCTCCTGCTCCTGAAAGCAGAAGCCACAGCCTTTGGATGTCAAAGTTGGGGGGACGCGGTGGACAGGATGGGGATGGGGAGGAGGAGAGTGGCTTCCTGTGTGGTAGACATAAGGCCTGGGGAGGGGCAGGGGGAGGAGGAGACAGACACAGCACAGAGTAAGATGTCTCACGTCCCTGCGCACTCTGGCCCAGCCTGGGTAAATCTACGCAATGGTCTGGGGGCCTCCCCTCTCGGTGGCGGCAGAGACAAAGCAGGGGGGTGAGCACGGGGAGACCAAGCTCCCCAAGTTCTCCGTCTCCCAAGAGCCCCAGAGGCCCTCAGTGCTCACCCTGAGTCCCGGGCGTGGACAAGCCTGTGCAGAGGCGGCCGGAGCACAGATCGGTCTCTGCCTCTTCCCCCCGGCCTGGGGGAGAGGGGAGGCACGTGGGTGTGCGTGCACGTGTTCACGTGTGTTCACCAGGATGTGTGTTGGTGGGTGGGGTGGGTCACTGTCTTTTTGGCAGGGAGGTCGCTGTGGTTTCCAATCCTCTCTCTGCGGCCCTCTCAGGGAGCTATGGGTCAGGGCCAACAGACCTGGCGGCCTCCCGTCATCCCAACTGCCACCAAGAAAATCCCCGAATGCTTCCGGCTCCTTGTGCAGGCCCCTCCCCAGCCCTGAACTGGGGACACCAGGTCACACCTGGCTGGCGGAGGGAGACGTGTGCCGAACCAGGGGCAAAGCAGAGGGCGGGTGTGCAGACTCGGGCCTCAGGCCTTCGCCACAGCCTCAGACACTCCCTGGGCCGTGAGCTCGGCCAGCACGTTGTCTAGGTAGCTGGCGTCCGGGTAGCCATGGCCCGTGAGGTTGGATCCGAACTCCGTCTTGTGGTGAATCTCATTCCATACCACGGTGTCCGACTCGCCCGTGGTGTTGGACGTGCCAATGGTGAAGATGAGCCTCCGCTCCCAGGCCGTGATGAGCAGCCGCAGCACCTGGGGGTGGGCACAGGTCGCAGGCAGTGCCAGGCCGTAGCCGCCCGAGTTAGCACCTACTAGGCCTGCTTGGCCTGGCCACTTCCTTCCTGTTTGTGTTTCCTGACTCCCGCCCGCCTGGCTCTCTTAGTAAAAGCTCTTCCCAAATCATTCATTTCTTCCGGGGTGAAGGAAGGGTCTCAAACTGGCAGCTCTTGGCTGTACTTGGTGTGGCCCCCATGCTGCATAAAAATAGCCACTTTGTGATTTAGTTGCCAATATAAAAAAAAACCCTAGAGATTTCACGTGAAAATCTGAATTTCTGGGTTCTCTTGAAAAACAAAATCAGACACACTATAGTATGGTAGTGAAGCCCTGGACTGCTTGGGTTCGAATCCCGACTCCGCCACTTAGTGGCTGTGTGACTCGGGCAAGCTGCTTGCGCTGTCTCAAGCTCCGTTATCTGTAAAATGGGTCGGGGCCTAGAGCTCAGGGGCTGGGGCGGGGATCATGTGTGAAGGAGGTGGTTGTGGTTGCTGCTGCTGTTTGGGTGCTGGTGGGGGACAAGTAGGAGAGGAGGGACTGGGGACAAGAGGGATCCCGGAGCCCACTCCCCTGTGCCCTCACCGGCACCAACCTTCTGGCCCTTGTCGTTGTTGGGCAGATAGCAGTGGCGCGGGAAGCCTCTGGCCGTGAACTTCTTCCCGGGGTTGGGGTGCTCGGGGCCCTGTGGGGGCAGCGGGGTGTAAGCCACAGGTGGGTGCAGGGCCTGGAGGGGGCAGAGGTGTCGGGTCGGGGCCCAGCACCTGGATGCCCGTGGGGATGTCGTAGACGATGCGGATGGTCTGGGTGTCCGAGAAGCCCGGCAGCGAGTGGGGGATGAGGTGGAACTCCATCTTCCCCGGCGGCTGGGTCCCCGTCTTCTCCCCATAGATAGCTTTGCAGGTGGGGCACTGCAGGCTGCCGTCCTGGCCGGGGAGGCTGGGGTGAGTGCCTTGCCGGGGTCCTGCCCCGCCCCGCCGCACACTGGCCAGCGCCCCTCCACGCACCTTGTTGCCGTTGGAGTACATGGCCACCAGGCACAGCAGGTGGTACACGTGGCCGCAGCGGCCGAGGCGCCCCACCAGCTCGGGCCGCACGCCCTTGTGGCGCAGCACGCCCTCGTAGCCTGACGCTGTGACCAGCCGCTCCATGCAGATGGTGCAGTCCTGAGGGGGCACGGAGGGGACACCGCCCGGGTCAGCGCTGGCCCCCTCAGGCAGCGCAGCAGACCACCCCTCTGTGGGACCCGTGTTGCAAAAGGAGAGGACGCTCTCCTGTACTGAACAGGAAGAGAGGGCTCCCTCACACCCGCCTCCTCCAGAGGGACGGAGACGAAGGGTAAAGTCTAAAGCAAACCCTAAAGGCGCACAGGGGAAAGTATGGGTGAAAATGGGACACGAAACTGTCGTCGATCGTCAAGAGATGGTTAAATGCAGCCCAGTGTGGTGGCCCACGCCTGTGACCCCAGCACTCTGGGAGGCTGAGGCAGGAGGATTGCAAGTTGGAATCTAGCCTGGGCAATTCAATGACTTATCTCAAAAGATAAAAAGGGCTGAGAGCCGGGGATTGCGCAAGGTCCCAAGTTCCATCCCTGGCACTAAAAAAAAAAGAGGGGGGGGGTTGAGAATGTATGTAGCTTACTAGTTCCAAGGCCCTGGGTTCAATCCCCAGTATCTCAAGAAGGAAAAAAAAAAGGTTGATAAATGAACTTCTATTAAACTTAAGCTGGAGACCCCATAAAGCAAATGCAGGGGCAAGGAGAGGCAGGAGGAGGGGTCTGCAGTGCCGTGGGTGAAGGCTGGGGTCCCGGATCTGGACTCTCCGGGGGACTCACCTCGTCAGGGGGGTTTTTCACCTTCTGCATGTACCTTCGAACCACATCCTCTGGATTCTTACCTGCAGGGACACAAGAGCACAGGTGTGAGGCACCCAGGGTCTACTCCGAGGGCGTGGCTCGGGGTGGGGTCAGGAGGTTACTGGAGCAGTGAGCGGAGGATGAGCTGGGGGGGAGGGGCTGATTGGAGGGGTTGCAGCGAGGTGGCAAGGCCTAAGCGCACAGTGGGGTTCAGGGCTGCGAGGGTGGCGGAGGGCGTACTCTTCTTGAGGTGCTTCTTCTTGGTCTTGCGGCACACCCCGGGCACGCCGGGCACCGGCTTCACGTCGCTCTTGCTCACGGGCGGCGGGTGCAGGATGGGCTTTGGGGCGCGCGTCAGGCACACCGGCAGCCCCGCGGCACACAGCAGGATCCCAGTCATGCCTGGGGAGGGGCGGGGCTGGGCTTCAGGGATGGGGCCGAACCGGCCAGGCCCACAACCCCAGCCCTCCCGTCACTGGTGGACAGATTCCTTGGACCCGCCCCCCGCTCTTCCGGAGTGCAGTCTCGTCTCACACACACACACACACACACACACGCGCGCGCGCGCGCGCACACACACACACCCACCCACCCACACCCACCACCTCACCCCTGTTGACGCCAAAGAGTCCAAGGTAGGGTGCGTGCCACCTGGCCCCGCCCACCAGCTGGCCAGGGGGCGGGGTCACAGCCTGATAGACAGGGCCACAGCCTGATAGACAGGGCTGCCTCCTTACGCGCCCGGCCTTTCCTTCCGGTCCTGGTCCTGAGCCGGAACCTCACCTGCCAGGGCCGGGTGGACCGGGCCAGTACCATTCAAGTTCTTCACCGGGAGCGCGGGGACCCTGCAGGGACAGGAGAAGAGGCCGCAGCTGGACTCCAGCCCCGACACATCCCCGTCCCTTCGGTCTGCCGTCTAGAAACCCCATTCCTACTGTGGGCCCTGTTATGGGATGGACTGTGGTCAGGACCCAGTGCCACACCGACCTCCCCTTAGGGAGAACATTTTGGGTCCATTTGCCTCTCTGTCTAACACCAATGATTAGTGTTTGAGCAGCTTGCTGCGTGGAGCATTCATCCTCATAAAACGCTCTGGGAAAAAAGAACTCAGGGATCAAAGTCAGGACACACTTTGCTGTCCCCCATGCAGAGATGCACAGCATTTGTGAGCATATTAAAGGCTCTGATGAGTTCTGCCCGAGGACAGAGTGAGCAAGCGTAAAATCCAGGTTTTCCAAAGGCCCTCGTTGATGTACATTTGCCCCGCTCTGTACTACGGACTGACGTCAGTCCCTGCGACTAAGGCACTGTCTTCTGAATGAAAAGCATCCTCAGCTTCTGGGGCAGCCAGAGCTGCTTCCGTGTCTCAGCTCAACCACTAACCCGCCACCACGCCTCTCCTAAGCTGTGCCCCCACACTGTAGATCAGACATGACATGGTACCTTCTCTTCGTGTGCCGTGAAGGTTCGGTGAAATTCTACACCTCAAGGTTGAGCACACTCCCTAGAGCCGAAAAGACTCCAAAACCACCACCATCACCACCACCACCACCATCATTGCTGTCATCGGTGTCTCCTGGCCCCTAAGTATGGGGTGACTTCTCTCATCTCAGAGAGGAAACCACTGAAGTGTTGCAGTGTGGGCCTCAGCAAGTCACCAAGCTCTCTGATCCTGTTTCCCTCTCTGCAAAGCGGGACCAGAGCACCCCATGTGGGGCAAGAGCACAGCACTGGGGGGGCCGAAGACAGTGCCCCTGAGCCTCAGTGACTTCAGCACAGCTAGGAAGGAGCAGGTGAGGGGAGTCTCCCTGCAGGAGGGCTCGGAGACCTGGCTGGATCAACTTGGAGCAGGACAGCTCTGAGCTTGGGGGTGGCAGAGGGGCCTGTCTGCCTTCTAAGGCCGAGGCTGGCCAGCACTGTGGGGTGTGAGGGAGCCGTCTCTTCATCTGGAAGGTCTCGGAGTTCAGCACTCTGCTCCCATCGGGTGCAGCGGGCACAAGGTGGCTGGCTGGGTGCGTCTCCAAGCAGACGGTCCCCATGGCAGGTCCAGCAGCACAGGCAAAGTGGCCCGAGGAGCACGGCGCACATGTGTTCAGGGAACACACCACATGCACAGATCCAGATTCGCATGCACACACACACAGACCATGCACACACTGTACACTCTGCACAGAGACAAAACCCTCCCCCAGGGGACACACAGCAGACACATGCACCCACATGCCATGGGACCCGCTTCCCCACATGGATAGACACACGCACATGCTCAGGGACAACACAGCACACACCAGGGCATGCATACCACACATGCACACACATGGATGCACACAGACACATCCAGGAAACACCCCTTGCCCACAAACACAGTCAGAGCCAGATACGTGCGTGTGCCTGGAGCTCACCACACAAGCATGCACACACATTCACTCCGCAGGGGACACAGCTCCAACACTTAGGGCTCACACACTTGGGGAACATACCACACATGCGTGCACACACACATGCACATACACACACGTCCACACTGTCCCATCCTGACTTGCAGCGGAAAAAGAGGAAAACAGCCAGGCATGGTGGTGCATGCCTGTGATAATCCCAACACTCGGGAGGCTGAGGGAGGAGGATTGCTGTGAGTTCGAGGCCTGGGCTACATAGTGAGACGCTGTCTCAAGGGAAAAAAAAAAGAAAGAAAAAGAGCAAAAGCATCCACGTCGGGGATGGGTGCCTGGCCTCAGTGAAGCATCAGCACACACAGCCTACACGGGGCTGCTGGCTACACACAGGATCACACTGAGTCACACTGCACACGTGCACGGCACACAGCACTCCACTCCACAGCGACTCAGCCACTCACACCGCTGGCCCTGGGCGCCCACCCCAGACCCCCAAGGGGAGGCTGTGCCTGGAGACAGCACTGGGGGCCAGGTCACCAGAAGAGGCGCATCAGTGACCTGGAGTCCCTGCACACAGTTCCAGAGGGAGGTGGGGAGGAGGGCAGGTGCCCTGGGCCTCTCAGGACCTGGGCAGTGGAGGTGCTGTGCCTTAGTTTCCCCATCTGTCATGGGGAGAGTCTTGCCAGGCTTAAATGAGCTAACGCAAGTGAAGCTCATAGTTGGGTGCGGGGCTGTCTCCTGCAGCCTGTGGCACTGAGTGTCCACCTGACCCTCCCCAGCTCCGTCAGATCTCCCGGGGCTTCCTGGAGGAAGACACTGCCCTAACTTCTCTCCCCGTACTTTGCAGGACAGCACAGAAACTGTTTCCTCCAGGTCCTCCTCTTCCCTGGCCAGCCCCCCAGGGGAGACACACAGATCGAGATCCTCAGCACATCTGTTCTCCCCACTCCTCTTTCTTCCTTCCTGGCTCACAAGAAGAAAACATTCCTCCCTCTACTCAGGACTGTCTGTGAAATGGATGAACAGAAACAATATTTAGCACACGAGCTACTGGTGTCCCTCTTCCTGCTGGTGGCAGACATCACTAATCCATCACAGAACCCTTAGGCTGAGCAGAATCCACAGCACACGTCTCCAGGCAGCCTCTTCAGTCAGCAAACCCAGGTTGCTACCTGAGGTCTATGTGATGCTCCAAGTCCCTGCACTCCCTGGGCCTCTGGCTGGGAGCTGGGCAGGGGGACCCTGGGACAGGGATGTTTGGGATCTTGACTACCGTAAAATGTCTGGAACCTCTTAAGAGCTACAGCGCCCTGGGTCACAAATGTCAGGCTGTCTCCCAGGAAGAGGGTTGCGAGTGGGGTGACAGGAGTGCTGGGGAGCAAGGAGGACAGTCCCAAGGCCACCCCAGCCTCTCTCAAGCTGCAGCCCCGCCCCCCGTGAGAACCCCGGGGAGCAGAGTTCCCACGACACGGAGTGTGGGAGCGCCCAGGGCCCCTTTTGATGTGGGATGCGTGCGTTTCCTCCAAGGCAGTGAGAACATCCTCCCACCCTGGACAGGCACCACCGCCCCTGGGCCTCCCGGAAGCAGGACCAGTCTTCACCCCCTGCCCTCCTTCTGGGGGCCCAGGCTGGCACAGCCTCTGGGGCATCCTTCCGGCCCCCCAAAATCTGCTCTCAACAGAAGTGGGGCTGGCTACCCCCGGGCAGAGTTGCATCTGTCATACTTGTCCCTCTGCCATCTTTCCCAGCTCTGGGTCACATCCTGGGTGTCCTTGGCTCTCAAGGCCCCTGTGGCTCCTGCTCTGCTGAGAGTAACATCTGACCATCAGATCTGGCCCCACCTACTCTTTCAACGTCATTTCCCCGTTGCACCCTTTGTCCACTCTAGCCACCCTGGTCTCCTGCTGTTCCTCAAACACAATGGGCACATTCCTACCCCAGGGCCTTTGCATAGGCCAGTCCCTTTCCAAGGCTGCTATTCTCTGGATACTTTTATGGACTTTGCACTTTTATTCTGAGACACAGGTCTCAGCTCAAGCGTTGCCTGATCAGAGAGACCTCCCAGAGGCCATCTTTGTCCCCACCTTACTTACTTTTCTTTTCACAGCACCAGCATGACCCACTATGACAAAGCCTGGAAGCACGGCCAGGCCGTGTGTGATCTGGTCTGTCCCTGCCTCTGTGACCTCACCTCCAACCCCCGTACCTGTCACTCTGGACACCTCAGCTGTCCCAGCACAGAATATGTCCCATGAACACTTGCTGCGGATGGATCCAGGAAGGAGTGGACTGAGTGGGGCGGACTCCAGGCTGGCCCGGGCACAGCCACCCGTGCACGCTCCGCACACGAGCACAAAGCAGTGCCACAGGTGGGCGGGGTGCGCTGCAGCTCAGCCCCAGCACATTCTCTAACAAGATCCCAGCAACACCGCTCATCCCACCAGGGCAGGACTTCTGAAGCAATGTTTTGAGGAAGCTGCAAGAAGCCATGTTCTCCTGCCATGGCTGCGAGGCTGAGGCAGGCAGGAGGCTCTGATTGAGGGACCGCAGCCTACAGGATGAGCAAAGGCAGGTTCCATCCCTGGTCCGGCTGGAGGGCAGTGCTCACAGGAGGATGAGTGGGTGCGGGGAGTTCCCCATGTGCCATTCCTCACACTGTTCCCTGCCTATTCCTGACCGTACCTTTGCCACACTGCTCCCCAGCCTGCCTGTAGGGTCCACATCTGCCCTTGGAAGATGGGTTTAAGGTCATTGTCTGCACAAGGCTCTTTCTTTCTTTTTGGTTTTTTTGTTTGTTTTTGTGAGACAGGGTCTGGCTGTGTAGCCCAAGCCAGGCCTTGAACCCGTGGAGATCTTCCTGCCTCTGCCCCCCAAGTGGTGGGATCATAGGTGTGCGCCCAGTTTCTAAGGCATTTTCTGATCTCACTAAATTTATATCCACTTAATTTAATCCACAAGGGATGGTGTTTTATCTTATCTTTTTTTTTTTTTTTAAATGCAGGTGTTTTCTTTCTTTCTTTGCAGTATTTGAGGCTGAACTCTGGGCCTCACACATACTAAGCAAGCGCTCTACCATGGAGCTACATCCCCAGCAATGCAGGCCTTGCCTGTCCTGTTTTCTAGTGGTGTGGTCCAACTTGTATCAGTCATGAGCTACTGGAAATGTGACCTGAGGATTGAGGATGACCCTCTCTGGAGTGGGGTGTTCATAGGCACTGAATAGAAGGGATGGGCTTAATAAGAAACCAGTCTATTGGCTCTGTGATCTCTTGGCAGGGATGCTGGGGCCCTTAGGAATAGGGCTTCTAACTCCAAATGATCCCCAGCCCCAGAGACAAGTTGGAGCAGAAGAAAGCAAAATAAATGGCATATAGACCCCTCCTTCATATCTGGCACCATGGCAGACATCATCAATCAATCCTAGCACTCCTCACTAACCCAAGATGCAACTC